AACAAAATTCCAGCCTAGAGCTAGAAAAGGAGTATTCTTGAGTTACAAAGCTGGTATTAAAGGTTATAAGATATATGATCTGGACTCCCATGATGTTTTTGTTTCAAGGGATGTCATTTTTTATGAATCCCATTTCCCATTCAAATCTTCTTCCCCCCAGTCCAATTCATCTTCTGATTCTGATATTCTCTTTCCCCTACCTGATCCTGTTCTTTCCCTCATTGATGAACCTCCTGTTATTCACCCAACTACTCCCTCATCCATTTTATCACCATCTTCTGAGTCTCCACTTCCTCTTATTGACAACATTTCATCTCCTACTTCTACTTCACCTTCCACTTCTCACAGAGTTCCACCTAGTTCTCCTTCTCCTTCTTCCTCTACACAACCGTCCCCTTCAGGTTCCTCACGTTCTCCTATACCTATTCCCAAACCTGATCCACAACTTCCCAGACGTTCAGACAGATCCTCAAAACCACCAGCTCACTTAACCAAAGACTACCATTGTTATCTAGCTTGTCAATCTACTGGTAAAGGTCACTCTCTTCAGCAACATATCCCAGACTCAAGGTATGGACTTCCCTCTATGATTTCCTATGATACTCTCACCCCATTTTACAAAAAATTTGTCCTAACCATCTCTTCTTTTGTTGAGCCCACGACATACAAAGAAGCATCCAAATCTGCTGAGTGGAATGCATCAATGCAACATGAACTCAAAGCCCTGCTACAAAACCAAACGTGGGATGTGGTGGAATTGCCACCAGGCAAGAAAACTATAGGAAACAAATGGGTTTACAGAATCAAGGTTCGCCAAGATGGTTCTATTGAAAGATTTAATTCTAGGGTTGTGGAAAAGGGTCATACACAGCAAGAGGGAGTTGATTACCAGGACACTTTTGCTCCTGTCATTAAAATGACCACCATCAGAACTTTTCTTGCTATAGCTGCTTTAAGGAATTGGCATATTCACCAGTTGGACGTGAATAATGCCTTCATGGAGACTTACAAGAGGAAGTGTATATGACCTTACCTAAGGGCTACCAACCACCTTCTGGTTTTAAAAACCCAGTTTGTCGCCTCAAGAAATCTTTATATGGCCTAAAGCAAGCTTCAAGGCAATGGTTTTCCAAGCTTACTGATAAGCTTGAACAGGTTGGCTATTCCCATAGAAGAGTAGATCACTCCTTATTCTACAAAGTTACTGATTCCAGCTACACTTGCATTTTAATCTATTTTGATGACCTACTGGTGGGAGGCAATAATCTTGTTGCCATTCAAGAACTCAAGGGCTTCCTTCACTCTCAATTCAGTATAAAGGACTTGGGTGTACTTAGGTTTTTCCTTGGCATGGAAGTGGCTCGAAACAACAAAGGCATTCATCTCTCACAACGTAAGTATGCTCTTGAAATCATAGAGGAAGCTAATATGCTAGATTCCAGACCAGTCACAACTCCTATGGACTATAAGACTCATCTCACCAGCATCTGTGAGATTCCATTTGATGACCCTTAACTATATTGCACCTTGGTGGGCAAACTGATTTATCTAACCACTACTAGCTCTGATATCAGTTTTGCAACTCAACAAGTGAGTCAATTCATGGGAAGCCCTAGTGTTCAACATTTTAAAGCAGTTCAAAGAATTCTACGCTACTTGAAATGTGCCCCAGCCACAGGTCTTTTCTTCCCATCGAAGGTTCAATTTCAGCTCAAAGCCTTTTCAGACTCAGACTGGGCTGCTTGCATCGACACAAGACGATCAATTACAGGGTATTGTGTTTACCTGGGTGATTCGCTCATCTCGTGGAAAAGCAAAAAGCAGCAGACTGTTTCCAAATCTTCTTGCGAGGCCGAATACAGAGCTCTTGCCTTCTCTGCCTGTAAATTCCAACGGATCCTCTATCTCCTTCATGATTTCCAGGTCTTGCATCCTCAGCCAACTCATCTATATTGTGACAATCAGAGTGCAATTTATATCGCCGACAACCCCACCTTCCACGAATGCACCAAGCACATCGAACTCGATTGCCACTTGGTGCGCGATAAGCTTCAAGCAAAGATTCTCAAGCTCTTCCATGTCTCCTCCAATCACCAGCTCGCAGACCTCTTCACCAAACCCTTATCCCCTGGTCCCTTCCTTCAATTGCTTTCCAAGCTAGGTGTGCACAACCTTTGCCCACCGGCTTGCCGGGGGGGGGGGGGGGGGGGGGTAACAGGAACTAAATCCCTAAATTTCGACTGCAACGGTCAACTCGGTTCAAAGCTTGAAGAAGGAGATCGATCCGACAACGTTTTAAGTGGCTAACATTTTAAGCTGATGCGACGACATTTACACCTTCTTCTTTGCCTGTTTTACTTTTCGTCCAAGCTTTCCTTTTGTTTCCTCTCCAAGCTTAAGGACAAATTGTACTCCACATTGTCATCTTCTGTAAGTCTCTTTGCCTATAAAAGGCAGAACAAGTGAATGAGAACATCAAGTTTTTAGGGTTTCAACCCACATTTCAGATCTGTTTTCAGGAACCTCCCCACTAAAATGGTTCGATTGAGCAACTCGCCCGACGAGCAACCCTCCATTGTAGAGATTGGCTGGCAGCTTCCCCGATCAAGTTAGCGGTTTGATTGGGAATCCATCGGATCTCTCCTCCAAACCTCTAGAACGGGCATCCACCAGTAGGGGTGAAAGCTTGTCCCGGAAGACCCACTGACCCGTCCCGTCCCTAAGGGTCGGGACAGGTCAATTTGTCTACAGGGACAGATTAGGGACGGGTCATTTGTTGACCCTGTAAGGGTCGGGACGGGTTGGGACAACTTAGGGACGAGTCACGTTTTGACCCTGTGACCCTTAGCAACAACAAATATCTCATACTTCATTGGACCTTTTCGTAAAGTTTTAAAAGTTTAGGTACTAATTGGTAAAAATAAAAAAACTTGGGTACCAGAACGTAATTTTACCATCAAAATTTATGGACTTATTTGTAAAAAAAAATAGGTACTAAATTGTAAGAAAAAATAATTTTGGGTACCAAAACGTAATTTGTAAAAAAGTAGTGTGTTGATTAGGGTCGACCCACTGACCTGTCCCGTCCCGTCCTAACCCTTGAGGGTTAGACAGGGTCAAGAAGGAGACAGGGAAGGGACGGGACAGTTATACATCTTGATCCTTCAGGGACGGGTCAGACAGGGACAGGGACGGGACAGGCAAATTTTCAGCCCTATCCACCAGATCTGTCCACCAGGCCTCCAGATTGGCATCCGGCTTTCGAACTCATATTTGCTCCGTCAACGAACTCAACCCCGCTGCCACATATCGATTGAGGTCCATCAAGATTTACGGCGCATTCATTCGACATCCTGACCAGGATTGCGACACTATTGGTGTGGATGAGGATGTCGCCGGCGGTCAAGAAACTGAGGTACTAGTCGCGGCGGCGGGATGAGCGCTTGCGCTTTCGGTTCTCAGATAGGCGGTGGTGAGATTTGATTATGGTTATTTTGCCTTTTTTATGATTTTTTTTTTAATTTTTTTAATTTCTGATATGAACGATGAGGTGGGCGCTGATGTGGAGATCCGTTAGTAAATAATTAACGGTAACATAATGAATGTCCAGATTTTAATTAGCTACAATAAGTTTGGTTAATAAATAATATTCCAATAGGTTTGGATAAAATAAAATAATTTGAAAAAGATTTGGGTAAAAAATAGATAATTACCCTTTAATATTTATGTTAAGAGTTTGTTGTAAGCTAACTATATTAGGTGTAGAGATGATGAATGATGTATTAACTCGAATGATGTTGATAATCATGGATGGTTAGTCTTATTATTATTGCTTATATAATGATAGTTTATGATAGTAATAACATATATGGTTATGTTTTTTTCATTAACAAGATAATTGTTTTCGTGTAATGTTATGTTATTTGGTTAATCCGATTATCTGATTAACCAAACCAATTAAACTTTGGTTTGGTTAATTTGGTTTTCGTGTTAATTTGGACGGTTTGGTCAAGACATTTTATTCCATGGTTAATGAAATTTTTGCTTAATTGGTTTGGTTATTACCACGGTAACCATTTGAACACCCCTACTCAAAGGTAGTCTAATTAATTGCCTCTCTAATCTTCCATTTTCATTTCCAGTGCACGTTGGACCGCCCATGAGAACTCTGGTCGAAGAAGCTCTCTTGATCGAAGCGACGCCGATGAGAACTCTGATTTGAAGGGTAGGACTATAGGAGCGGGAGCGGCGAGTCTAAGTTAGGGAAAGTCAATCATATTTATAGGTAGTTAAGTGTCGTGTAGGGTACTACGTTTTTCCAGTTTCAAGTCGACTTGCCTTCTCGGAGCATAATATAATAGACAACTAATTTAATTACGATTCGGTCCGCTCCTTAGCTTGGTTTTACGATTTCAGTCTGGACCGAACCAAAATCGAAAATTTTCCAAAGTCAGGAACCAAATTCAAATCGAAAGATAAACAGTTCGATCCGATTCAGTATGAGAGTCGATTCGATCCGATTCGGTCCGATTTGAACCGAATCGTTGCCACTCCTAGCGGCCGCACTCCTCAACCTCGGCCTTCTCCCTGTATCCATCTCCACCATCTTGTGTTGCGTTGCCTGAATTCTTCTTCCTCAATATGCAACTCTCCAAGTCCGACAGAACCCCCGTTGCCTTTCTCTCCCACTCGAATCCCTGCTTGTGTCACAATCAATGTAGTAAAAATCGTGTTTTAAAACTTAAAACTTACGCTTTATGTTTCTAGGTCACTAAAATGCTTCTACACAAAATCACAGCTTTTATAGCTAATGTAGTTAAAACCACGCTTTAAAGCTTAAAAACTTACGATTTTACGCTTCTAGATCACCAAAACCCTTCTATGTAGAAACGCGCTTTTGACTACATTGGTCGCAATTATACGCCAAAAATTTCCCCCAATCATTTTCAGGAACCCTAACTTATCCTCCCCTCTACACACCACCTTCAATCTTGGACGGGTCATTCGCCGGCAGTATCCGATCGATCTCCCTCCGTCTTTTCTCTCCCCTTCCGACAATCAAGAGCGTCGTTGACGTGAGGAACAATTTCGTTGCCGAGAATCGAGGTGACAGCATGTGGAGCACCATCCCCAGGACGAGGCATGTAGGTGACCATTCGGTGAGAGTGGCGGCTGAGGGAGAGGAGTTTCTTTAGAAGAGGCACAAATCTGTTGGCCATCTGCTCAAAGAATCATGTCGACAGATTTAAAAGGTTGAAATCGGACAACAGAGAAAGTGAGTTGATGTAGGGAGAGATCCCAATTTTTCGCCAATCAACCCTATTCCCGGAGAGGAGTTTGATTTATATCTATCTTAATTCTGACATTTTTTCAAGTAGTTTTTTCTTCACAAAGTTTTTCTAAGCCTACGCATGTTCATAACTAACCAGCCATGACCTCTTACAATGACTTTTAATGTCATTATTAATGTTTTGAGATAATTTATTATTGATTTATATGAACTTTCTCAGTGATCATAAAATAAAATGCTTATTTTAATGGGTATATAATAATAATAATTCATTTTTACTGACGTTGATAATGTTATTGCAAAAATTTAATACTACATTGCAAGTTGCCACGAAGTGACGGAGTTATGGAGAAGGCCATGAGGAAAGAGAGAAGGACAAAATGATTTGTCTCTCACGAGATGGAGTTCTCTTTCTCTTACTCGAGTCTTCTTATACGAAGGTTGGGGAGAAGCTCATGTAGCTTGATTAGGAAGTATATCTATTCTGCCCACGAAAAGGCTTTTGAACACTTTTCGTTTGAAGACGAGCATGCCTATCCGTTTTGTACACATCGTGCTTTTTTTATACGCATAAGGGGTTTGTTTTGCTTTGTGCTTTGGTACTAGCAAGCCATAATCAAGCAAAAGCACTTTTTCTTTTTCTTGATCGTTTGAAAGGTCAATGAAGTCAAGGGATGTCGGAAGCTTTATCTGTGCACTTGAAAACACATCCTCAAGTTGGCAATCCTATCATGTGGATGGAAATTTTACTTGTACTGGAGAGGAATTAGCATCATCTCGTAGGACTACCCCACCAAGACTAAACTAGTATCTCTTTCAAAATTCAGTTTTTTTCCAAGGATATGATGCCTCGTACTTGGCTTTTACCCCACACTTTATTTACGGCGGCATCATCTTTTGATTTAGACTTGTCGTGGTAGGATTTTGAATGTATGAAGCTACATATCAACCATGTTTTAGCTTTAAGCACAAAAGACTCCTTCCCCTGAGGAGGAGTTTGAGAACTTGAAAAGGATGGTAGGAAGCACCAATCTATACGTTCTTAAGATGGATCCAAGTCTCATGATAAGGACATCCTTCATAGACCCTACACTAGCATCCCTAAGTCACGTATCAATGCATAGATTAGCAATTCAAAGTATGATGAACTTCAAATTTTCTTTGGGGGTTTGGAATTACTCGAAATTTTGAAATTAGATGCACAAATGCACACACAAACACCTGTTCCCCAAATGCATTAACATTCACAAACTCATGGTATATAACATGAAGAACAAACTACCTAAATCCCACCCTACACTTTAAATGGGACAATGCCCTCATTGGACCAAGCAAGTAGTAGAGATAAAAGTATAATGAAGTTACCAGTTTTGTAGAAATCCATGCAAATCGACTAGTTCCTTTGATGATTGGCTCCACAAACAAACAAAAAGTGTACAACGGAGAGAGAAAGTGTGCCATCTCCTTGTCTAAGGAAATACCTAAGAGGTACACCTAAGTAGCTCTCTAGGTGACATGTCATAGGCAAGGCCATAGTGGCATTGATGTCGTGATGTCTTAAGTGACAAGTACAAACGTAATCGTTGAGTGTCTGTATCGTCACAGAAGTGTGAAAATATGCAATGAATGGTGATGAGAAAATATATGATGGTGCAATTATTATACCCTCACTCCCCATAAAAAGAAGAATGGATGCTTAGGGTCTACCAAAACACCAGTCATGTATTATCGTGAGGCGTTCTTAAAGAGAGTGGCATTAGATGAAGCCCAATTGATCACCCCACACAAAGACGATACCTCCTTTCACAATATCGTCCTAATGTTGTTTAAGATATGCATGTAGGGTTTTGCGACAAGACTACTTTCAATCCTAAAGGGTTGCAACCACTCATTCTTTTAAAGCACAAATCGATATAGTATGAGGGTTTAAGATTACCTTTACTTGCAAAGCGGTTGATGGTGCGATCTTCATGTCGACCAACTTTATTGGTGATGTACTACTCCACGATATTGTCAAAATTGAACTGAGTTATCTCTCATAAGTACTTTTCTTTAGTGTCTTGAAGTTAGACAAACCATGAATTTCCTCCCATGTAGCGCCCTATCTTCAATGCCTTTGAGCTAGGCATTGCTAGCGCCCTTCTATTGATATGACCAGTAAAGATATAAAGGCCATTCCCCACACCAATAATTTGGGACAGGGGAATCGAGGGATGGATTAGAAGAAAAGTTGGGAGATGTTGGAGACTCATCAACACGGACGTGTAAGGTACGTACCATCTCCTCGAACTCTCGCTTGCTATCACGTGATTCCCTACTGTTGAATTCTAACTCCTTTTCCATGTTGAAAGGAAGGGTCGAGTCGACACATTCCCCATAGTCAACCATATGAGTCTCCAAGGAGTCACAATCAGATTCTACAAAAGTATATCTTGATTGTTTCTCGCAAACTTCCTTCTTCGCTTCTGGAGTAATCATGTGTATAATATGCTTCACATTGTCTATTCTCATCGTAAGCTTATGCTTAGGAACGTCGATCAATGCATCGGAAGTGACCAAGACGGGCCTCCCAAAAACGATAGAGTAATCTCTATTTCTATGCATATCCAGTACTATGAAGTCGACAGAGAACATGAAGTGTCCTATCTCGACCTTTAAATCCCTCGTCATGCCTAAATTCTCACTGCGTATAAGCTTTCTAAAAAGATGAAAATTGTAACAAAGAGGAAGACGATTTGAGTAAACACTTGTCTGAAAAATAGTAACTATTTACACCTAAAAAATAATCTTGTACTACATTATGTATTTACAAGGCATCTATTTTCTTTATAAGGCTATATCAATTATGAAAATATTAATTGACCATGAATTAAATGGGCATCTTGTATCCCTATCTAGACTATGAATTAAATCGAGTTTGGGGTATGATACTATACCCTAACCTCTAATTAATAAACCTCGGGCCTCGATTCTCTAAACTCAAACCCGAAGTTCAATTTTATAGAAAATATTAATTGACCGTTGAGATTGGTCGGAGCTCAGAAAAGGAGATCTAACGGTCATATCACATGGAGTATGGTATACTCCGGGAGTACACCAGTCATTACCATATATGGTATATATATTATTCTAATAAATAATAATAATAATATTTTATCAATATGCTATTATTAAAACCATGATTGTACCACTAAATACCATTGTCATATATGAAATCTGGTACGGTCTCATGAACAATGAGTCAAATGATTTTCTACTATTTGTATTAATGTATTCTTTGTCTCTTATATATATTCATATAATTTAAAGTTGTTGTAGCACATCCTTTACAAAATATTAAGTATTGGTCTTAATGTACGATCTCAATGTATTAATATCATATCTTGACTTATACTAAGTGAATTACTAAACCACGACACCAGGAATCAATAATGCTTAGTTATTTATGTAACTAAGCAGTATATGATTCTTCAAAAGAGCTCTACTTGTAATCTAGGGCTATTAGCTCTTAATTAAGGGGTCGTTTGAAAGTTGTGATTTTCAAAGTTGTGATTTTCTAATTCATGTATTGAGTCAATTAATGTATTATCATTTGATCCAATCAATTGATGTATTAGACAAATATCTTGTTTGGAAGTTTAGATTGTGTTTTTGTTGTAAAACCATAAAAAGTTGACTTTAAGTGATTGTGAATAATCTCTGCTACTTTTTGTTGAGATTGTTAATGTCTCAATTTTGAGTGATTGTGATGGAAGTCTCAAAAAGTTGATGCATGTATTCTATTTCAACTAGCCTATTACCCGGCCCGTTGGCCGGATTACTGTTTGTTACTCACTTGTGGAATAGGAGAGAAAGCAAGTGAGAGTGAAGGGATTGGGATTCCACTTGATTAGGACCGACCCACTAATCCGATTCTTCCCGACCCGCCCCAACCTAAAGGGTCAGAAAGAGTCAATAAGAAAATACGAACGGAGAGGATTAGTCATATTCATATATCTTGACTCTTCAGAAGTGGGTCAAACAGGATCAAGGTTGGGTGAGGGAAATTTTTAGCGCTAAGCAGAGTTCTGGGTTGAATAACTTTACTTAGGCCTAGAAATTGGTGTTGATGCAGACTGCAGTTTTTATTATACCATCATCAATCATCATTGAATTAGTCCTGGGCATCCCTTCCCGTTGTCGGTATGAATTCTAATGATGGCTCCGTTCCTTGCACCAGCCTTATCAGCGAGTTGTCATCTCGAGCATGATTTGCCTATGTACAAATGATACAATTAGAGTATGAAACTGAATTCAAAGAAAAGGAAAAGAGATTTCTATCACATGTCAATAAATACACACATAATTGTTGAAGCTAAGTGAAAGTCATTACTCGCACATCAATTCTCAAAAATTACAGACTAAACAATGGCTAGAATGGCACTGAAACTACCAAGAATCATGGACGAAACAACTTGTCAAATTAAATAATCCTTATACTGAAACTACCTTCTAACTTGAAATAAGACATGATCACAGTTCATAGCTCTCTTCTCACTATGAATTGGTTGCAGCTCGTCCTTATCACTGCCTCCCAAGCTCAATTCAAACAGAATAGAGACCATTATGTAAGATAACCATATCCTTACTGATCATAATTCCTTTCTTCACTCCATTTTTGTCAGAAAAAAGAGTTACCCCCCTCTCCTGCATTTCCCTTTCCCCCTCTCTTCTCCCTCTTCTTCACAAACCGATCCCTAAACCAGCAACAACAACACAAAAATAGCCTTCGCCTCTGCCATCTCCATCTACTGAACGCGTTGGTGGCAAGACAGGACTGCAGAAGCAAAATTTTCTAAAATCAAACTAAATTTTTTGAAGGAGACTCAACCACGAAAAAATAGTAAAGCAACAATGCTAATAGTTCAGATGGTTGGTTTTGATGTTATA